CACCACCCCCACAGACTGGGGACCAGCCCGCTCCCCTGCCTATATCTCTCCCCAAGCCCCTTTAGATGGGGAGGGAAGAGGAGGAGAGGGGAGGGGACCTGCCCCCTCCTCAGGCATCTGGGAGGACCCTCTCCCCGACACATTTGTTAAATCAAACCTGAATAAAACAAGTTTAATATGAAAAAAAAAAAAGAAAAAAAGAAAAATCACTGTATAAAGGAAAATATTGGGATTTCAGAATCCATCAGGACACAGGAATCTCCTTGCGGCCACTCCGCCTGGGTTGAGTTCAGAGGGCGGGGCCACAGCCAGACTGATACAGGGATACAGCACTAAAAACCACACAGTGACATTTGAAAAAGAGGTGTGGGAGAGTCTACACATTTTTTTCCTCCTCTCCCATGTTGCACCCTCTATACCCAGCCTGGACACCTTCAGGTGGGTGGAAGCACACCCTCAAAAGGGTCCATAATTGAGCCCACAGTTTTCCCATGGCACAGAGAAGAGGAGCCCCATTGGTCCCATCAGCTGATCCTTTGGCGGCTGCTTATGACATCTGACTCTGGGACCCAGTCCTAAAGTTGACCTGGGTGGGACCCTTTATTCTTGCCTACCCAGCAAGAAAAAGTGGGATTGGCCATACAAGCAAACCATATGAACACTGTAAAACCCCAACATAAAAGTCAAGAGCCAACATCAACTACTACACACAAGGATGCAGCTATTTTGAGAATTATGCTGTGAACAGGCAAAATCCTAACTGACCTTCAGAGATAAAAATAGTGGACTATCTTTCTCCCATTAATTTCTGAATATCTATCTGCACACCTACCTCCACAGTGGTGACTAGAGGAGGGGCCTGAGCAAGTGGACACCTCAGACACTGCTGGAGGTTTCTACTGTGCATGCACACTAACCTACACAGCAAAGGCTACTGGTAAGTCAGCTACGGTCTTATTTTTGTTTTTGAGTGGTGGTAGTTGTCTCTGCTTTTATATTGTTTCTTGTTTTGGTCCTTTTGATCACACTTTTTTTCTGGGGGTAGGAGCTTTCTCTCCCTAAATTACCCAAGAAGAGACAGCAATTATGGCCATATAGCCAAGCTATTAGCATAACCCATAATATCCCCCCATTGGGACAGGAACCAATATCAGCTGCTAGGCATTATACGAGAAAATGGACACCTACTCCAGATCATATCTACTAAGAGATACTCAGTAAGCTTAAAAACACAGCAACATACATTCATTTAATAGTTGAAAATACACCTAACTACTGAAAATGTCCAAGAAAAACCAACAAAAGATCTCAGCACATGTCCAAAAACAGAAAAGAGTAATTAAGACAAATGAGCTCAAGGCAGACATAGACTTTCCACAAGAAGAGCAGGCTTTGGATTTGCCTGATAAGGAATTCAGAAGAATTATATGGAGACAAATTCAAATGCTTAACAGAAGAGTGGAGGAAAATAAGGAAGTCAAGAAAATGCTACAGGAGCAAACAAATAAGATAGATATAGCATTGGAAACCATTCAAAACCTGCAAAAAAAAACAAAGCCCAGATGATTAATAATAAAATATCAGAAACAGACAATACATTGAAAGGGCAAAGGAGTAGAATTGAAGAGATGGAAGCCAGAACAAGTGAGCTGGAAGACAAATCTCTTGATACTGCTAACATAGAAGAGCAAGCAGGAAAAAATAAAATAAAATAAAAAATCTGAAGAGAGTCTAAGATTCATGCTGGATAACATGAAGAGGAATAAGTTAAGAAATTATTGACATTCTGGAACAGGAAGAATCACAGAAGTCCACAGAGGAGATAGTTGAGGAGGTACTGGAAGAAAATTTCCCTAACATCTTGAAGGATGAGAAGATAAACATTCAAGAAGCTGAACTTACCCCAGGAAGGAGACACCCCAAAAGAAAATCACCAAGACATATCATAATCAAGCTCTCCAAAATTAAAGACAAGGAGAGAATCCTAAAAGCAGACAGGGAAAAGAGAAGTGTTACTTACAAAGGCAAGCAAATGAGATTAAGCTCTGACATCTCAGCAGAAACCCCATAGGCAAGAAAGAAGGCAATGGGGGGGACATATAAAACCCTAAAAGAAAAAAACTGCCAAAGAATTGTTTATCCAGCAAAATTGTCAATCAAATGCATGGTGCAATCCAAAACCTTCAAGGATAAACAGAAGCTAAGAGATTTTGTCAAAGCCAATCCAGCATTTCAAAACATCCTAAAGGGAGTTCTTTGGACTGAAAACCAACAAGAACAGACAACAATCAGAGATTGATAGACATGGCAACACTACCTGGAACTCAGGTGACAGCAGAGTCCAGAACAGAACAAAATTACAACAACAAATTCAAAGGAACTGGAAGGTCAACCTAAGATCAAAATAATAATAATGTCAAAGAAGGGGGAAATATAGGAACAGAGATCGAGGTGGTGAGGTTGAATATATGGCAGGATACAATAGACTGTCTTAAATGCAAGGAAAAGTTAATAGACTATAGGGTGACCCCAAAGAAAATTAATACTTTACAACATATCATGAAAATGAAGATCAAAGCAGAACAAGGAAACATTAAAGCTAAGAAGAAATTGACCAGAAATAGCACAAAAATCATGAACTCAACACAAAACGGCATGCATAACAAAGGAACAAACAGCACCACAAAAGATTAACATAATGACAGCAGTTAATCCATACCTATTGATAATTACACTGAATGTCACTGGATTAAATGCACCAATGAAGAGACAGAGAGTGGCTGAATAGATAAGAAAACAAAACCTTGCAAAGAGACACACATTCAGTTTCTATGTATTCAACTTTATTTCCTTGGTCTTCTTATTGTTGGTTTCTAGTTTTATAGCATTGTGGTCTGAAAAGATGCTTTGTAGTATTTTGTTTGAAAATTTATGGAAGCTTGCTTTGTGACCTAACACATCGTCATGTTCCATGTACAATGGAAAAGAATGTGTATTGTGCTTTTGCTGGGTTGAATGCTCTGTACACATCTATGAGGTCAAGTTGGTTGATTGAGCTGTTTAGTTCCTCTGTAACTTTGTTGAGTTTCTCTCTGGTTGTTCTATCCTTTTTAGAAAGTGGCGTATTAAAATCTTCCACTATAATTGTAGATTTATCAATTTCTTTCCTTGATTCTAGTAGGGTTTATTGCCACTCCTGCTTTTTTTTTTTTTTTAATTGCAGTTAGCTTGGTAACATTTTTTTGATCCTTTAGCTTTTAGTTTGTTTTTGTCTTTGTAAGGTGTCGAATACATGGAAACTGAATAACACACTGCTGAAAAGCAACTGGGTAGTAGAAGAAATTAAATGCGAATTCACAAAATTCCTAGAAAATAACAAGAATGAAAACACAACATATCAAAATCTTTGGGACATGGGAAAAACAGTGCTGAGAGGACAACTCATTGCGATAAATGTGCACATCCAAAAGAAGAAAGAACAAAATTAACATATTAACACAGCATCCACAACAATTAGAAACAGAGCAACCGAGGGAACCTACAATCACCAAAGAAAAGAAATAATAAAGATCAGAGCAGAAATAAATGCGTTGGAAAAGAGAATAACTATAGAAAGAATCAATAGGAGAAGCTGGTTCTTTGAAAGGATTAATAAAATTGACAAACCACTGGCAAACCTAACATAAGAAAAGAGGGAGAAGACACAAATAACACACATTGGAAACCACACATGCGATGTCACAATGAAACCAAAGAAAATCAAGGATAATAACAGAATACTATGAAGAGTTGTACTCCAACAAATTTGAAAACTTAGAAGAAATTAATACATTTTTAGAAAAACACAACCTACATAAACTTACACAGACTGAAGTAGAAGACTTGACCTGACCCATAACAACAGAAGAAATTGATCAGGTCATCAAAAAACTCCCAACCAAAAGAAGTCCAGGTCCAGATGCCTTCATTGGTTGTGTTCTACCAAACATTCAGAGAAGAGCTGTCTCCAATTCTAATAAAATTGTTCCAGAATACAGAAGAGGATGGAAAACTTCCAAACAAGCATAACCCTCATACCAAAACCAGGGAAAGACATCACTAAGAAACAAAATTATAGACCAATATCCCTCAAGAATTTAGATGCAAAAATTATCAACAAAATCCTAGCCAACAGAATCCAGCAGCATATCAAAAAATAATACATCACTTTTTTCCTCTTCCAGGGACAATGTGTTGTTGTTGTTGTTAAAAATGGTCCAGCGTTTGACATACTGCTGTAGGCTGTCCTACAATACAAAACTAGGCTGTCCCAAACCCCTGGTAATAGACTTGTTTATCTCTATATCAAGAAGGTTGGTAATGCACCCAAATCTGCATGTGGTGTGTGCCCAGGCTGATTTCGAGGGGTCCATGCTGTGAGACCTAAAGTTCTCATGAGGTTGTCCAAGACAAAGAAACATATCAGTAGGGCCTATGGTGTCTCCATATGTGCTAAATGTGTCCATGACAGGATCAAGTGTGCTTTCCTTATTGAGGAGCAGAAAATCATTACGAAAGTGTTGAAGGCACAAACACAGAGTCAGAAATCTAAATACAAAATAATGGAGATAGAGTCAGTGACATAGCCACAGAGGGCTAGAGTGGAGAGTGAAGCATCTAGCTGATAAGAA